CCTTTAAAAAAGAACATGTCTTTCTTGACAACATAGCCATATATTTAATTTTTAAACGCAAGTGTGAATGCCGTTCGGTTCAAAGAAAAGCTCACAATCATTTGCGCTTATCCTCATTATGTTATAATATTGTCAACTTGCTATAGATCTATCTATTTATATATTCTATACTTTAATTTCATAATATCAAACATACAAACACTATATTATAACAATAACTCAGGCAATAATGCAATGCTGCCTTGCATAGCCAATAAATATTATTGATCTTGGAATTTCAGATAGAATAAACTATGCGTTTCAAATTTCTGTGGTTAGTTATCTTTTTTTTTTTCTTGCTTGTATTATAAAGTTTTATGTCCAATTTTGTTTATCAGATAATTCCTCGCCTCGCCACAAATTTACTGAATAAATTATCAAAATCGATTTGTTAATAATATGAATTTATTCAATTTCGCATTTTCTTTGACTTTAAACAAAAACAAATAAGAAATAGGTAGATATGTGGATATTTAATAAGCAGCACAAAAGACAAGGACATTTTTTGATGAATTATCAAAACAAAGTCATGATAACGCATAATTTAAGTACTAAATGTCCGTCTGTATTTTGCGAACAATATATATGTAAAAGTACAATAAATCATAGTATTGATACTGTAAATAGGATCAGGCCTTTGCTTGGCACCAACAGCCCTTTAAGGTATACCTCTTTTTCATATTGTCTCAGGTTACTGTGTATTTAGGTTTTTATTGACGGCCGTACAGTGTCTTTCTTTTGCCTCAAAATTCATATATTCGGATAATATTCCATGGAAATTGCTTGAAGGTTAATTATCACCACTTTGTTATGGAACGCCTGGACTGTCTTATGTTAAGATTGAATGATATACCTGGTTAAATGTCTTTCTGTTGAGTCCGAGAAACAAAATGCTGGGTGGAAATCCAAATGTGCTCAGTTATTGAAGTGCTATGTTGTGTGCTGACTGTATTTTATTCAGTCAAGTCAATGTATTGTCGGGTGCATAAGTCGTTATGTTCAGTTCTTAAAACAAACAGGCATGTGGAAACACAATTATGTTGAGTTAAAAAGATATGTTGTAGGGTGTTACAGTTATTATGTTCGGTTATAATAATATGCTGTTTGGTGCTCTTCTCATCATGTTCAACCATGAAAATAAACAGTTGAGTGGTACTATCATTTTGTTTGGTTGAGGCAGTGTATTATTGGGTGATACTTTTATTATTTTCAGTTGCAATGACATGCTGTTGGGTGCTTTATTCCTTTTGTTCAGTCGTGAAATAGAACTGTTAAATGGTACTATCATTATCTTGTGTGCTGATTATATCTTCTTCAGTCAAGTCAATGTGTTGTTCGGTGCAAAGGTCGTTATGTTCAGTGGTTTTTTGGTAATATCATTATGTTCAGTTCAGATGATATACTGTTCGGTGCAGAGGTCATTATGTTCAATAGTGAACACAAACTGTTGTGTGATACAACCGTTATGTTGGGTTCATTCGGATATTTTCGGGCAACAAGATGGGAGAGGTCACTTCGAGGCTAATGACCACTAAATTACCAAAACAATTTTCTTCCCTATAACTATTATCGGGGGGCTTAAAAACGTTATTTTCATAAATTGGACTTTTAAATACCCTATGGGTATTTATTAGTTAATTCATGACTATACTATACTGTTACAGTCATAATGGATACAGTATATATAAAACTTAAAATATGGGTAAGGGTAGCCTGTTAAAGTCACACGTGACCACCGTAAATAAAACTTAAAAATTTATCTGTTTGGTAACCTATAAGAGTCACAAATGGACACAGCAATCGAAATTTAAAATATAAAACACCATATTCAAGTAAGGGAACCCTATTTGAGTCACACATGGCCACAGTATATGGAGCATATAAGTAAGGGTAGCCTATTAAAGTCACATATGGCCACAGCATATACGACTTAAAATGTATTTGTTGGTAACCCATTTGAGTCACACATAACCACAATAAATGGAACATAATATTTAAGTAAGGGAAACCTATTTGAGTCACACATGGCCACAGTATAAGGAACATTAGATATAAGTAAAGGTAGCGCAATAAAGTCACACATACCCACATTATGAAGAACATTCTATATAAGTAAGGGAAACCTAATTGAGTCACACTAGGCCAAAAAATATATGGATCATTATGTTTAAGTAAGGGAAAACCTTTTTGAGTCACGCTTAACTAAAGTATATGGAACATTATATATAAGTAAGGTAGCCTAATAAAATTAGACTCAAATACATTTCCCTGACTTAAACATTATGTCTAATATATTGTGGCCATATATGTGACTCAATTAGGTTTCACTTACTTATAAAGAATTTCTTTATACTTTGGCCATGTTTGACTTTATTAGGCCACACTTATTTATATATAATGTTCCATTTACTGTGGTCATGTGTGTCTCAAAATGGGGGTTCCATACTTATATTTAACGTTCTTTATACTGTGGCCATGTGTGACTCAAATAGGTAATTGTTTTGGCAATTTAGTGGTCATTAGCCTCGACGTGACCTATGGAAATTAGTTGCTCCCGCCCGCCATCTTGTTTGACGCGAAGAAATCCGAATGAACCCAACATAATTGTATGACCACTCAGCGCATTGTCAAATGACTTGTGCACCGAACAGTATATCATCTGAACTGAACATAATGACGGTATCACACCACAGTTTGTGTTCACTACTGAACATAATGACTTCAGCACCGAACAGAATATCATCTGAACTGAACATAATGACGGTATCACACCACAGTTTGTGTTCACTACTGAACATAATGACCTCTGCACCAAACAGGATATCATCTGAACAGAACATAATGACGGTATCACACCACAGTTTGTGTTCACTACTGACCATAATGACTTCTGCACCGAACAGAATATCATCTGAACTGAACATAATGACGGTATCACACAACAGTTTGTGTTCACTACTGACCATAATGACCTCTGCACCAAACAGGATATCATCTGAACTGAACATAATGACGGTATCACACAACAGTTTGTGTTCACTACTGACCATAATGACTTCAGCACCGAACAGGATATCATCTGAACAGAACATAATGACGGTATCACACCACAGTTTGTGTTCACTACTGACCATAATGACTTCTGCACCGAACAGAATATCATCTGAACTGAACATAATGACGGTATCACACCACAGTTTGTGTTCACTACTGACCATAATGACTTCTGCACAAAACAGAATATCATCTGAACTGAACATAATGACGGTATCAGACCACAGTTTGTGTTCACTACTGAACATAATGACCTTTGCACCAAACAGGATATAATCTGAACTGAACATAATGACGGTATCACACAACAGTTTGTGTTCACTACTGAACATAATGACTTCTGCACCGAACAGTATATTATCTGAACTGAACATAATAACGGTATCACACAACATTTTGTGTTCACTACTGAACATAATGACTTCTGCACCGAACAGTATATTATCTGAACTGAACATAATGACTTCTGCACCGAACAGTATATCATCTGAACTGAACATAATGACCTCTGCACCGAACAGTACATCATCTGAACTGAACAAAATGACTTCTGCACCGAACAGTATATCATCTGAACTGAACATAATAACGGTATCACACAACATTTTGTGTTCACTACTTAACAGAATGACCTCTGCACCGAACAGTACATCATCTGAACTGAACATAATGATAGTACTATTCAACAGTTCTATTTCACGACTGAACAGTCTGAATAAAGCACCCAACAGCATGTCATTTCAACTGAAAATGATAAAAGGATCACCCAATAATACACTGCCTCAGCCAAACGAAATTATAGTACCACTTAACAGTTTATTTTCATGGTTGAACATGATGAGAAGAGCTATTTCAACCGAACATAACAACTGTCATACCCTACAACATATCTTTTTAACTAAACATAATTGTGTTACCACATGCCTGTTTGTTTTAAGAACTGAACATAACGACTTATGCACCCGACAATACATTGACTTGACTGAATAAAATACAGTCATCACACAACATTACACTTCAATAACTGAGCGCATTTGGATTTCCACCCAGTATATTGGGATTTTGACCCAGCATATTGTATCTCGGACTCAACAGAATCACATTTAACCATGTATATCAGTCATTCTACACATAAGACAGTCCAGGCGTTCCATACTTTGTGCTGCAAAATTAATCCTTTAAGGGAATGACTGGTGACATGTGCCGATTTCGTAATCGACAGCGAAAGCTGCATTTAGTGCATGAAAGGGCGGATGGACCCTCATTAAACATAGATCTCAACATCATAGGGTCAATGTTTATTATATATACAGAGTAAAGAACCTGAGATTACCGATGCTTAACCTTACAAGTTTTAGGCCCTACGATAGTGCCACCACCAAAAAATCATCAGTTTGGTAGTGTGATAATATGGGGTTCCAACAATATACATTATACTATCTTTAAACAGAGGGATTACAAACATAATAAATTAAAATCAAACAGTACAGAGTACACACAATTATATTACAAGGGAAATATTTACCCATATACATGTTGATAGGAATCGATACTTTAAACTTGTCTTAACGCTTTTTCCATTCACTATCGATAATTTAATTTAAATTGAAGTCTAAAGTTGAAAGATTCTAGAATGTTAATCATGGGAATCAAAACTGATGCGCAATATCCGAAACAAAAGTCATTTATTTAAGTCCTGCCATTCATTCCTACTTTCAAAATTATCGCAATCAAATATATTTTATTTTATCTATAGAATATAAACATGTGCACAAAAATGTATAAACTTCCCTGTAGCGAATTGAATTTTTTATTCAAAACCTATATGATCTTATATGATCAGAAAATAAATTGACATTGAGGGTAGGTAATTTTTCTGAGGTTAAGAGAAATCAAAACAATTCGAATAAGTGAAATTTGTTTATTGTTTTATAACTGTGTACACAACTATCCTGTATTTATATAAATACAAATATTAAAAACATGTTTATTTGATTTCAGGATATATAAATGAATATAAAAGTGACATTATGCCCATCCAAGGGTGTATAGTGAGTGAACGGGTGAAAGTCAAAATATGGTTTCATTTTGCCATAATTCCTTTTAATTTAATAATTAAGTTCGCATAAACATTGAATAACTCACAGATCCACGCGAAATTTCTGTAAATATCCATAAGAATTTACCTATAACGCTTTGTTTATAAAAAGAGTGGGGCAGTCTTTTTAAATTTTAGACAGATTTATAATTTTACCCATAACATTTTCCAATATCAACTGTTGGTCAATCACCATTTTGACAGTCAATCTTTTGAAATATAAAGTTAATTTAGCTCAACTTGACGATGAAAATATGAGCATAATGTCACTTTAAAGATATTCGCAAATAAATTCATTTAATGCATAGCAGACAGTATCATCCCATTTGTTTCCATAGTAACCGATCCATACACAATTCCTACCCTGTGGCTCATTAGGCGCCCATGCCTGTAACGAAAAAAATCTATAAATTATCGTTCTTGCCATAGATATTTGCAGCGTGCGTGTCTTATGCGTGACGTGGCTCTGGTAATTTAACAAAATAACACTACGCCTGAACAATTGGAAAATGTATGAAAACGTATTTGTGCGCATAAGTATCGACATTCAAGTACCATTTTATCAGAATAAGCATCCCAGATACAAAAAGTATGTTTATATTAGTGACAGCATGGCTAAGTGATTAACGCGTCGGATACTTAGGAGTGTTGACAGTGTAAATTTAGAACCCCGTCAGGGACGTGAAGCATTATTTTTCCTATAACAAGAAACTCTTTTCTTTACTCATTGTTAAATACTGTTTGGTTATTCGAGCATGTTTTTCCATAGCTTAACTCTCAACGTAGCTGAATTAAAATAAATTCTTTGTAAACTAAATATATATATATTTAAACAAGTCTAATGTATGCGGGGGAATATATATACAGCATATTTCCAGTTTGAAAACGGATTTAACATTTATCATCACGCTTATGAATCCACCATGTGATGAAGATTTGATGCAAACGTAAAACAGATAAAATTGATAACTGTAAATGTTACTGTATTTTATTTAGAGACAGAGAGATACGCACCGTGAAACCAAGATCAACGCTAGTCCCGTCAATCCATTTGCAGTTCTCACCCTGAGTGCAAGTCATTCCAATCCAGTGGCTAAATCCTGAAAACAAGCAGTGAAATAAACCACACTTAAACTTTCAATTTTTAGTCACTGACTGCTGATATTAATGAGGCATGGCTTTAGGGGAGCAAAACGCATTTTTATAATCCTATAATATGATTAAAAAATATAAAGTGAACGTTAAATGTATTCATATGCCAAACGTGGCCGAATTACCGTTGTGTTACTTACAATAAGTAAATTAATGGTTTGCACATTATGACCAAGAAACGGTTATTTCTGTAAGCGAATGGTATGATTACTGAATCAGCGGCCAAATAAAGATTATAATTAGGCTGAATGTCAAAGGTCACATTCCATGCAGAAAATTGCCCCTGGATTACTAATCCAATTATGTTTCTTTTAGCTTAGCATGTTGTTTGTAGACATACCAACAAAATAAAACAACAGCTAGATTTATCAATTTAACTTAAACAAAAGCATGTTTAGATTTAATCCAGTCTGCGCATCTTAAGCATGTTATATCAACAAGTTATATTTATAGCATTCTAAGTGTCCTTTGTTCTTCAAATGTCAGTCCCCATTGTTGCTGAGGGGTTGCCTTTAATAGTTGAGGCACCAGAACTGTATCCATAGTTTAACCCTGCATGATCGTGATAGGTCAGACAATGGGTCCAAATTACTGAAGATTCTCCAAGATGTGAGGTTGGAATCGCCAAAATCATCTATCATGCACCGGCATCATATGACCTAAATTATTTTGGTGCTTCGTCAAACCAAAACAAACACAGAGTCAAGTGCTTGATTTGAGCAATTATACATTTCTTATCAAAACTGTGCTAGTACTGTGCTGCCTTATTGACGGAATCTGACATACCGAATGTCGGGCAAATGAAGATTATGATAATTCCAAAGTAAGACCAACCTTCTACTAGGGTTCCAAGAAAATCTATTTCCTCTTGACTCTCCAGAATTACAAGTCTTGCAGACATACCATCACATATCGCCTGCAAAATATGTTAAATGTTGAACAATAATACATGGGATTTGTTTTGAAATATTGACTATATTTACTTACACGTGTATTACGAATGGCGATTAATAAAATAATAAAGCTTTAGTAATTTTACAATAAGTATGTTGAAATTGGAACAATTATTGGCAGTTTTTATATGTATGTTTAGAATGAGGTGACATATCAACCGATTCAATCAAAAGCAATATTTTAAAATAAGAGCTTAACAAAATAGGTTTTCATAGATTTAGAGAAATTTGACTGATGATCGTATTAAACGGTCTTTAATTAATAAATGACCAGTTCAATCCTATATAATATTGTAACTTTCCGTTATTTAAAGATCATTTAGTACACTGTATATCTCATTTCTGTTTATTACTTTGTATCAGTTACGACCTTTATTTAATATTATAAGTGATACAATACATGTTCCGTTGATAGGCAAATATGTTTTTAATAAATATACAGTAAAACAAAACAACGAAATATATGGTATTTATTTACCGCAGCTTGCGAATGTGTAACTACGTCTGATCCAAGAAAGTAGTCAGTTGCTATGAAGAAACAAAATATTTTAAAGGTCTAAAATAATCAAACATCTTAAATAGCTGAATCTTAGTTTAAATGGTTCTAAATATGAAAAGCCGAATATATCCATAATATATATAAAAACAGATGTAAATGACATATACATGCACTTTATAACAATATTTGAAGTTTTGTATATTCTTTTCATATGACGGAGCAAATAATATTTTGTTGTTGTTGTTGAAATCATAGTGGCCATTATAAAACGTAATTATCATGATTATAATGGTTACTTGAACTAGGCTTTCAAGACACTATTACGTCAAGAAAATTGTCGATAAAACAATCTGAATGTTTTGCTTTTCATTGTTATATGGTATAGTTAATGACTTTGTTAAATCATATAAGATCTTTCAAAGATCTAACTTCTGTTTAGTCGAAAATCTACAATATTACTGAAATAATAAATAATTTCCTCGTCCTGATTGGGAGCAGGCGTATAAAGGTGTATTGTACCACAATTTTTTTTAATAAGCATAAACGTATCGTGAACGTCATGATGCCGTAAGTGTACGATTATTAAAACAACTAAACAAAACAAACAAGCCCGCCAATGCAAAATGATTTAATTCATTTTCTTAAATTATTATGTTCACTTGATCATTTTTGCATGTTTGATGCCAGAGGTGCTCTGATTCTTTCAAGATATTATCATGTGTCAATGTTTTAGTTTTAAATAATTTTTCCTCAGAGAAAAAACAAAGTTGAAAATATGAAAATAAGTATAGGTTTACTCAATGGTCCCTCTGATTGCTTCATTGTCTAATATTTGTAATTACATCGAAATATACTAGCTGACTAAGTCGCTTCCAATATTGATTTCAATATATTTAGATAAACGGTGTTTGTTATAGTTATTTTATCTCCAAGTCATTTTAAATGGAAAAAGATATAAATCGAAATTGAAGAATGCAATCCATGCATCGCAAAATCAAAAGCGTATAGCCAGACAAAACCACAGAACATAATACGAACATAAACGAGAAGGGCACCAGGGAAGAATCCATACATTGTACTATTAAAATGGAGAGTATTAAAGGAAAGGGAATATTAGCAGGAAAATTTCTGATTTAGAGAGGTGGGTACAATGTACAAAGTGGGACAATATATGTAGCAACAAAACACAACGAATACTATGAAATGTTGAATTTTGTTTGACTGCTTATGACATATTCACTGATATAATGGAAATACTAAAATACTAAAACAATGTATGTTTGGTATTTGAATAATGATTTCCCGTTAAGTTCTTTACGTTCTTAAAATCTTTTGTGGGAATATAAACGCCAAAAATTAATTACACTACCCAGAAAGCAATAAGCTCTCTCATTACAAGCTTCGTTTTCAATTGCTACATCCTGGCATGTTTGTCCTCCATTGCTAGGCGACGGGTTAGAACATGTTCTTGTCCTTGACCTTGTTCCATCTTTGCAAGTCACAGAGCATTCGCCCCAGCTTAACCATGAACTCCAGCCACCATTCACTAAACATGTACAAAATGTTTTTTTATTACTATATCATCTATTTTGAAATTTTACAACAGGCTGACATTGACATATGAGTAAATATCGGCTTTAAAAGAAATAAATAATGCGGACTTGCTTTTGAGAACCTCTTATAGATGATACTGCGTAAAAGATGTTCAGTCAACAAGAACTAAAATGATTGGATTTGATCGATTTTAACGTCGTTTTAAATTTAAATTTGATAAGTTATCATTTAATCATTGATTTAGCTGCCATAATCAGCGGCTTGTGACGATGTCATTTTCTTTATGACAAGATCATGTCAATTCATAGCTTTTATAATTTGAAATAACTGTTTTATACTTCAAGAATGTTTTTAAGGTCTTTTTAATAACAATTGGCAAAAGCAAAATAAGGTAAGCCAAACAATTACCAAAAGCAAGCGAAACAAAATGATTATTTCAGTACAGAATACAGAATACAAATCACATGTGCATGTATGTGTATACGAGGGGTGTTCGGGAAGTTTAAGGACTTTTGCTGTATTTTTTTCCTTAATGGTGCGTTTTTATCGATATTTCACAAAATGTAATTTAGATAAGTGCTCAATTATGTAGTATAACGCTCACTAACAAGAATAGACAAATACCGCTCGAAACTTGTTTCTATAGGAACCGCATAACGCATACCCGGAGCACCCCGATTTTATCGTATTTAAGTTAATGGTACCGATATATTTAATTGATAATAATTTTCTTAAATGACAATGGATAACGTCACGAAAAAGCACGAGTGTTAAATACAACGTCAACGTCGTTTCCATAAAATTCTACTCGTTAATCGTTACAATTGTTTGAATAACAACGGTTTTAACATCACTGGTGCTTACACAAATCAAGAGAAAAATGACGTCAATAGGCGGCGTTGAAGTCAGGGAAATCATCAAGTTTTGTGTAGAATAGAAAAGACACCAACGGAGACGTATAAAATGATTCAAGCATCTAGTACAACAAAGAAATGCTGTAGATCGCTAGTATTTAGACGGACCGACATGTTACGAAACGGAAGAGAGTCAATAGAGGATGCCAGGACCTCGCGCTGATGGATTTTCGAGTTTTTCCGGAAATCAAAGCACAGCTGCGTGGTCGACGCTTTGATTCCGGGTTGGAATTACAAATTGAAACCCAGAGAATAGTTTCGTTATTCGACAATATCTGGTACGAGGACACGTACGACAAATGGGTCAAAAGGCATAGAAAATGTATCGCTGTGAATGGAGATTACGTCAAGAAGTGAGTCGATATGACGATCGGGGAAATATAACGTTAACATATTTAGAACTGACGTGACGTTAGCGTGCTCCGGGTATGCTTTGGTGTATGTTTTGTTTTATTTGTAATTTACTTATTTTTAATGTATTTCATTGTAATTTTTACAGCTGGCTGTAAAAGAATTAAATATTTTATGGTGTTTTTCTTGTTTGTCAATTCCAATTATTTATCAAACTACAGCAAAAGTCCTTAAACTTCCCGAACACCCCTCGTATGTATACAAGATACCTATAAATTAGTGGTTTAAAGATCAAATTTGATATGAAAGTGTTCATTATCTTACTACTTGAGAAAGAATTCGGCTGGTATTTACTTTATCAATCAAAATTGATCTTCTCCAAACTTTTATTATGATAGTTGATATTATGTTTATATGTTTATGTCATACACTGTTCGTTATTGTGCATGTTTTATGTCCGCATGGGCTTTAAAGCCTATTGGAATAACAGAATAACATAAAATGTCTACTGTCTATTGTCAAATTACATATGAATAGGTGAAGACAACGATAAAAGTGTATTCAATAAATGCAAGGGAACCACCTACTAGTATTTTAACTGGTAAATTGCAAAACTGCAGTGTAGCTAGTTGCTTTGAAATGTTCAAATTTTGATAGTATATCCTTTACAATATACGTGTATATCCTTTACAATATACGTGTACTTAGACAGCCGGATACTGCTTGCAATTTGGTGGTCATTATTTGACAACAACCTGACTTGCGTGATGTTTAAACAATAATACTAACCACTGACATGTGATAAACCTATAATGATAATAATAAGATCATTTTTGATTATTATTATTATTTTTATTATTATTATTATTATTGGACTTAATAGTAAAAGTGAGGATAAAGATAATTGTGATATTTACCAATTCGTGAGTACACGTTCCAACCCGTCGAAGCTATTGTAAAACCCTCGTGAAAATTGGTACTCAATTCGCAATGTTTTGTTTCTTTGTTGTAATTAAAAGAAACACTGTTCGTACTTCTTTCAAAAATAACCGAACATTCCAACAACGAAAGAGCACCATGCGATTCAGACACATTCGATATCCGTCCGTCTGTCTGAAATAATTCTAATTTTTCACATAGGCACAATCTAAGTATTAATGAAAAAACCGGAAACGAGCTCAATTTTTTAATTTCAAAACCCATTTTTGAATTTGTTTAGTTTACCAAATATGAAAAAATAGAGAGAAGTATATCCTATTTAATAAAACATTATAGTTTGAATTCAGATTAATAAAGAGTGCGTATTTCCAGGATCGTTTTATGATATTAAGTATTGATTTTCAAATGACGTTGCTAATGGTTTTGTTTGGGATAGATCCCCTCGGGTATATTTTCCAAGTGAAATTTAAAACGTAATGCTTGATTTCGCAACCATGACATCTGTTACGATGTCATATTAGTTGAATAAGCATTTTAAATCCATTGAAGATTGTACTACGGTGGCATAAAAGTGACATTTGCATTTTTTTGTTGTTTTTCATACTTATTTTTGTACTTATTTTGTTTTCTTTTCCGTACATATTTTATTTTAGTTTTGCATTCATATTTCATTTTAGTTTTGCATACATATTTTATTAAAGTTTTTGCATACATATTTTATTATAGTTCTGCAAAATTATTATTTTAGTTTTGCATACATATTTTATTTCAGCTTTTCGTCCATATTTTATTTTAGTTTTTCGTTTATACTTTTTAGCCAATCAACACAGCGGTTACATCTCATAACAGCCCATAGTTAAATAATAAAATGCAGTAAAAATAAGTAGCACAGTGGTTTGGTCACTTTGAATCAGCCCAGTCGTTTTCGGCCCAGTCTGGTTTCGGCCCACATTTTAAATTGTATGTAATTTACATAAATATTTTTTTACATAATTATATACTATTGTATTTGTGTCTATTTGGAAAGAAACGGACAGACGAGTGTACTTGATATGATTTAGTGACACTGTACAGCCGGTATATAATGAAGTGAAAAATTAGCATGTTCTAAATAGTACGTTTGAGAGAAGTAAACAAATGTTGTATATGCTCATTAAATTAAATGTATTCAAAATCGTGTAAGTGTAAGCTTGTTCATCATAAATAACTAATATTCGAAAAGATGAAGTATAATGTAATTTTCGACGAGTACTATAATTTAAGGTTTATCATATTATAGTAGTACCAGTAACGACTTTTATCATGCTTAAAAGTCCCAGTTACGACTTCAAACAAGATATACACATGCTTTTAATAACATCTCATTCATAGTAACTGTAACGAAAACTGTTGTTGTTTACTAACTGCATACATACGTTGAAAAAACCTATCACGTCCGTCAGCTCTTTGGCTAAGATCGAAGTCAAGTATATGCCATTCGTCAATATCCAATCAACGGAAGTGGCTGTGATGACACGATTACTTTGTTTAATTGACCAACACGGCGTACAAAGCTGCTCACTTGCAAAAAATGCTGATGTCTGCAGGTCACCGGACATGTTCTTTCGAAAATTTTACTTAGAATTTATAGAAAATAAATTTCTTATTACCTCCCTTTATTTACATGAAATGTTAAATTCGGTAATTTCTCTTTAAATAATGCTTATTGAAACTTACAATGCTGACAAATCTTAATTTGAGCATCATAACCATGAAAAAATTTTTGATTTAATTTGATCATTCATTTCTCGTTATTCTGATTTTTTTTCATTATAAATTTATTGCTAGCCGGTCTGACCACATAATCTCGATTACACAGTCCAACATTCTTAGAAATGCGATCCTTAAAACAATACCATTAATATACATGTGGGCCAAATGTGCATAAACTTGCCACAATAAAACTAATCGGTGTTTGCCGCATGGGCATCGCAGGTGCTCCGTTCGGCGTGTACAACACCTTAAGGTGACTGACTGACCTTGTATTGATTGTGCTCGGGCATGACCGTGTTTTTGTGATCACGGTGCCCGTACGGTGATAATTTGTTTTCCGACACGGCATCTCACCCATACGGGTTCCAAAGACTCAATTAAGTATCCAGCTATATTACGTGGATTGTTATTTGTGTGGTAATCATTTAACCTTTTTCTGGAAAATCCACATATACGTACAACCATAAATGCAGAGTCCGTACGGTTTCAATTTGTCATATCCTACGATATGCCAAATAAAATTTGATCCGGCACATGTCAGACCTTCTGTTGAACCGTCTGGCAATGCGATCCGCAAAACCTGCAAAAAATCAAAACATTATATTCAGCTTGTATAAGATTCACATACATGAAGAGAACTAGATCGAAGCATTTTATCCTGATGTGGCGATTGTTTTAACAGCTGTAACATAGGTTCTGCATATCGCCTGGATGTGATACATATTTGACACAAGGTGCAAGAAGGTCCTTTTTGGGGTTTAGAGGATAAGGAGCGAACAAGAAATCTAAGTCTCAAACCTTTGACATCCCGGTGTGACCCTGACCTTGAGCGGGTACACCTGGCATATAAGTTCTGCACATTAGCTGGATGTGGTAAACAATTTGTCCAAGTTTCATAAAAATCCTTCAAAGTTTAAGCATCTTTTTCTAAAATAGAGAAAATAAGAATCCCTAAAGAAAGTCCAAAACGGCAAAATTGAAAATGTTGCAGGCTCGGTTTGATTGAGCCTATTCATGGACGGTACTGTAAAGTGCAAACTACCGTCCAAGCCCCCTACCACCCGCTTAAGCAGAATTCAACATTTAATAATGGTGATGGTGAAATTTTGAAACATAGGCAGATGTGTTCAAACGGCGGTTATCATGGAACATTCAATGTGACACTTCCGTGCCATTCCATGAAAAGCGGCGTATGGTCCCCAGGTAAAAGAATGCGTGTGCCCTAATCGAGAAAACAATGGGCGGAACTAAATAAAATGGAATTGTGAAAGGGGATCTGAGGTTATGAAGCCTGCATATTACAGATAAAACGTGCAAATTTAAAATGCAGTATATCCCAAGGGTGATTTAACCAGTGTTATTATAAGTACCTATTTAGATCTTTTACTGTGCATTATTGTAATACTTCAGTCATTTGTAACCACCACCCTCGCCCCCGGGGGCAGTGCGGGTTAAAATGGAGTCGTGCTATGAAGTTTGCATAAGGCACGAATGTTATTATCAGCGTATTCCCCACAGGGCGAAGATTTTACCACAGGTGTCAGTTACCCCCGCCATTCTTAGGGGGTGAGGTTGAAAGGTACATATTCTACAAAAAGACTGAGAATATATGTTCAGCATTATCATTATCTAAATATACCAAGGCTTACCATCCTGATCGCAAATCTGCAAAATAGCAGCTACATCTTGCAGGCATGTTCTCAATCCACTTTTCAAACAGCATTGTCGAAATATTCGACAACGATGGCTATATTCTGCTGGACTACGCTTATGAAAACGTCTACAACCCTTCCAGAATCGCCAAAGTCTCTTCTGCCTCATGCTTGCGACCTAAGCATTATATTCAAATGGCGCAAGCTTACGAAGATTCCGTGACGTTCGGACAATACATGCACAATATCTCTATACCTTAGCCCTTCGCGAAAATATTGAGTTATCAGTAAAATTTATTTCATCATCCATTTTGAACAAGGGAATGGCGTAATTTATACTATTGGGAGATAACTATTACTATGAGATCTTACGCCTGTTTTGATTGGCTTAACGTATGTGTACGAAAAACTAAAATAAACAAGTATGCAAACAATTTTGTATACAAAACTAAAATAAAAAATGTACGAAAAACAAACAAAACATAATTATGGAAAACAAAAGAAGTATGAAAAACAAAAATTGTCAAATATCACTTTTATGCCACCGTTGCTTCTAAACTCAACAAACTTGCGTTATTCATGATTGATACTTTAAAATGGCCCACTAACCGTGACAGAATATTAGATAACAATTTAATGGGCTGACGAGGACTTTCCTAGAATTTTGCGGAATTATGCAGAGGCTTTTTTATTTTTTTTATTTTGTAAATGTCTGTGCTAAAAACCTGAATAACTAATGTACCGAACAATTTTGATCACATTTTGTAAATAAATTGTGTAATAGAATGCTGAAAACAAATCACAGTTACACAGTGACATATATAAATAGGCAACCGAAAAAAATATGCACTTTCATTAGAACATGTTATTTACCCATAATATAAAATGCATAAAATTGTACGCGTAGCGTAAACATATATTGAAAATACAAATAGATAGATTTAGAAACGCTATATAAAGATATTTTATTTTAAAGAAGAATTATGTTGGATAAATGTCGTAAATTTATAGCAACAAACAAAAGTCAAACCTCAAAACAAACAACTTATTGCCAGCACTATTAAGTGTTGAGAATTGAGTACCGCTCAAGCCGGTGCTAGGGGGCGTGAGGGATGTTGCACTCATTCATTATCCCTCATGTACAGACTCAATCAAACCGAGTCTGCAAGTCTGTGATTAATGCTTCCGAGGGATCACTTTGTTTCCAGATTTTTAGTCATAATTCGAAGTCTTTAAGTGACAAATGTTGTTACGATGATGTTTTCATAACATAAAATACTAACAAACAATAACTGGTACAAGAAAATATGTAATCAATAATAAAACTATTAAGTTGTTACTATAGTATTATCACTGTACATATATAGAAACATTGCAAAATGTGACAGCGCCAATTTATTCATAAAACTCTATTATAATTAACAAGATACAATCACTTAACTTTATTCATTAAGTCTAAAATGATAGAATAGACAATGAAATACACTTTGCATATACATTTTTTCACAGTTGTTTAGCGTCACATCACTGACAAAACCAACATTTTGTCAAGTAGAAAAAATAATTATAAGACTATTGATGCTGCTGTATTATATAAGATGGACTATAGAATATGCCATAGACAGAAAATGCCAGAATCTGCATCCACCTAACAATATAAGGATCTTACACCAGCTGCCGGTACAAAACAGAATATCTAGCTCCAGGGTAACTATATACGGAGGTAACAAGACCCTGCCGTTGTTTGAAACTTTTTCATTCTTGCATATTAGAGATAAACGATATTTCAAAAAGAAATAACGAAAATAATTATTTTCATTTAGCACTTCTTTCATATAGGTACAGATATTTCAAGCTAGTCGTTAAATATACGACTTTTTCTGGAGGCTCATGGGAGGCAACTCTTCCGGGCATGTAGGTTCTGACTACGCTGTCATTAACTACTATATCAAGAAAGCACGTGGAAACTTTCTCTCTGCCTTGGATTTCGTCTTCTTTTGAGCTTTT